ACAAAAAATCCACATTGCAGGACACAAAAGATCAGTTATTGAGTTAAAAATAAAAATAATTCAAATATCATTTCTTAATTAGATAGTTTAACCTTGAAAGACCTTGTAAAGTAAGAGAGTTAGCCTTTTGTACCTTATTAGTAAAATATTACAGAACTCACTACTTATGAAACTGCAACTTAAATTAAAAAAAAAAAAATCTAAATTTGAATGTGAAATACCATCTCAAGTACCCTCAATCTCAACCTTAACAAAAGACAAACCCAAAAAAAACAAAAAATAGACCAAAAAAACCCCCAAAAACCAACAATTCTGAGCATCACCCACCCTACCTTGGCAGCTGTAGGGGATCCCAATGCGGCTGCAATCCCTGACCATGTCCACAAAGCTGGAAATCTTGAATTCCTCTGCAGCTTCTTCATCTTCATACTGAAAGAAGCCATTTCAAATCAAATTGGATCAGGCATGCCCTGCTTTGATTGGTAGGAAAGAGAAGATGCAGCATTCAAAGCATTAAAATATCACCTACAGCCTCCTGAAGCTCAAGCACCCATTTTTGGGAGGTGCTTTGGGATTTTGAAATCCCATCATGGCAGGGATGGACTCAAGCCAATGGAAAATGGAAAAAAAAGTCAAATTTCAAAGCAAGATTTTTAATCATGACATATGAAGGCATAATTATAGAGTTTATTTCCAGCTTTCAGTCAAGTCTTTCAACACCCAGATTTAAAAGATAAAAGTAATTGTGAGGATACCAACTGATGGGCCACAAAAACGTGCCACTGAGGGGAAAAAATGAAAATAAGGTAGTGTATTACCAGCTAAACAACACTGAGCAAGTAAAATCAATGACAGAATAAGCTGCAAGTCACAGATTAGGCAAAGAAAATCAATTTTGGTCTGAGGGAGAGGTGAACTGCAGGAAAAGGAGGCAGGAAGAGGAAAAACCCTCATGGACACTGTTTGAAGACTTCAGCAGACTGAAGAGCAAATATATTCAGAAAAGCATAAAAACCAGAGTGAAGAGACAAATCACACCAAAGTCACTTTTCTAACAGAGCACAAAGCTGCAAACACACTGACTTTTGAGCTGAAAAGCAGTTTAGCAGCAAGTCTGGAACCAACAGGTTTAGCCCTGCTGGTTTCTTCAAGAGCCACTTGTTTTCTGGAGCAAGATCAGAAGGCAGAGGTGTTTTGCCTATGTTATTTTATTTTATTTTATTTTTATGTGCAGTGCTCTGAGCTTCTTATCAAGGCAAATGATATGATTATAAACTTCTTGTGGGCTTCAGGGTACACCCAACACATTTCTTTTAAGGACAAGTTCTTTTAAGCCAAGTCTGAATTTAATCCCATGAATTCAGATCCCATGAATTCAGATCAAAGCTGCAGCTCAAAGCCAAGCCCCAGACAAATGCCAGTTTCTCAAGACTTAAAAATGTCATTGGAACAAGAACTTGGGTTTTGGCAGGGTGCTAAAGGTTTGCTCACAATCTTCTGTTGCAACCAGTTCAACTGTGGTACCCCAAAATTTACTACAGCAAATTTCTGTATTTTATCCTATTTGGTCACTTTGAATATGGGCATTTTTTTAGTAATATGGGATTTTTTTTCCCCAATAATTAGGATATTCTCTTAAATTCCTGTGGTCTAGTTAAAGCAAGCTGGAAGGAAAAAAAGGAAGAAGAAACTCTGTGTTTTGCCAGACCCAGGCACAGCACTGCTTTATTTATTTCTAAAATTCTTGTGCTTTTTTGGTTTCATTTTTATGAAGTTACTTCTATCACTAAAGTAAGCATTTAAAAGCCACTGCAGGCAGTTCTCCTGTAAACAGGATGCACTTAAAGCCTGACACAGCAAGGTTTTGTTTGTCTTCCAGCAGCAATCTAGGAAACTGGCAATTCTTATACATTGCCAATGTGACTGGAAGTGCTCAGCTCACTCACACCAAACAGCAATGAAGCAAAACCATATTTTCAGCTTCCAAAACCAAACTTTTCCCTTCATTTCCACAAAGAACAAGGCACAGGGTTCACCTTGCCAGTTACATCATTTTTTTCAAGTGTGATTAAGGTTCTTTACCACAATAAATCATATCAAAGCCCATAAGCAGATGAAGCTTAAAATGCAATAGCTGAGATTACAACTGTGTGGTAAGAACTTCTCTGCTCCTGATTCCAAAGTGCAAATGTTCTCTCAGCATCAGATTTGCCCTTTCAGCAAGGATTTTGGCAACAAAGAAGCCTTGTGAAACCAGGCTTCAGGTTTAGCTGGGGCATGTTTGAACCTGGAGCTCAGCTGTTCTATCCTAACAAGAATTATCCCCCTCTGCTGCACTCCTGGAATTGTATCCACAACAAATTTTGGGATCCATGGACAAGGTATTTATAAACCAGAGCAAGATCAGTGGAGGGTCACCACAATCAGCACTTGTACCAGAAGGAGAGATCCAGCCTTGCTCAGTATCTGCACCTCAAACCCACCAAAATTTTACTGAGATGCTGAAGTCAGGCTCTCCACAGTGGTCATGACAAAAGTCTTTATTTAAAACAATTGGGTTTGACAAAAGGAACCATTTTTTCACTAGGAGGATAGTGGGAAAATGCAGCAGAGGTTCTGCAGTCATCCTTGGATGATTTCAACACAAGGACAAGGTATTTATAAACCAGAGCAAGATCAGTGGAGGGTCACCACAATCAGCACTTGTACCAGAAGGAGAGATCCAGCCTTGCTCAGTATCTGCACCTCAAACCCACCAAAATTTTACTGAGATGATGAAGTCAGGCTCTCCACAGTGGTCATGACAAAAGTCTTTATTTAAAACAACTGGGTTTGACAAAAGGAACCATTTTTTCACTAGGACAGTGGGAAAATGCAGCAGAGGTTCTGCAGTCATCCTTGGATGATTTCAACACCCAGCTGCAAAAAAACCTTGAGAAATCTGATCTGATCTCACCCCTAAAGCAGGAGGTTGGACAAGATGATCTCCAGAGGTCCTTTGTAATCTGAATTATTTCCTAATTCTGTGATCTAAGCTATAAAAACACTATCAGTCTACTCTAAGCCCCACCACAGACACATAAAAACACAATCAGGCTGTTGTAAATCCCATTGCTTCCAAGCTGGAAACTCAAGAGAACAAAAAGTTTCTCTCCCTGATTTTCCCACTCCTTTTTTCCACTGGCTTCACTCAGCACCACAGGCTCCAAACCCACTCCCTGCAGAATTGAGAACAATTCTAACTTAGAAAAGGAACCACACAGAACTCAATGAGGAAGGAGCATTTCCAGTCCCCACTGGAATGAAAAGGTCCTTATTCTACACCCAGACAGAGTATTTTCATTTTTTACTCCTCTAAAAATACTTCACAACAATAAATGGACTTTTTCTAGAATACTTTGATTTTTAAGTTCAAGAAGAAACTCACATCAGTCATGGGATGCAGTGGAAGTGAGGTTAACAGCTCTTAACAGACAGATTTAATAGTTAAAATTAAAATATATAATGAAGTTTCTTGATTTTAAAGGACTTACTACACCCATTTTTCCTAATATTCTACTGGCAGCCAATGCAAACATTGCTTTTGCTTTAATGTGGGAAATCTCAGCGTTGACTGTGATATTTGATTCACATTTGGCATTTTTCACAACCCACATTTTTTCCTCATTAAGAGATCACTGACTCAGGTCAGAACAGCAGCAATTAGTGGGAGAGAGGAGCAATTTGTCCTCACACTCCAACAAATAAAAGTATTGACAACATATTCTTCTTGCACACTTTAGCAAATGATCAATACACAGATGTACACACATATCACTCCCCTGCTGAGGAAGAAAGAGAAAAAAAAAAGATTCTGGAAAAAATATCTTTTAAAGTTTCACTTTAAGGATCAGTTCATTAACAAGTTCATTAGCAAATCTTGTCTGCATTCACTTTTCACTTACCTCATTTTCAGTCAGACAGTGGAAATGCAAGTTCCTCCAGTGTGCCACATAGGGTAAAAGCTGATTGTAATTCACAGGGTTGCAGTACAGATGAACACTGTCAGGTTTTATTAATATGATTATATCTGCAACAAGCACAACAAATATTCCAGCATCAAGACTCCACACACAAAAGAAACTGAACAGAAAACATTTTTTTTTTCCTATTATGCACCTCATTAAAAAAGAAAACTGTTCAGCTATGTGAATGCAATTCCTGATTTTTTTTTTTTAAACCAGCAGAAGGAGCAGCTGGCAGCCACAGAGAGCTCCAGGCACGTGAAACTGTTCCAGACAACTGGAACTGTTGTAATTCCCAAGTCTTGCACTGAACTTGCATCAGCCTGTCCTCAGGATGAGCCTTCCCAGAGCACTTCCAGAATTTAAACTCCAGCTGATGTTACATCAGAGCTGCTTCAAGTAAAATCTACCAAGCCACAGCCAACAACCAAAAGTTTCATGCAAATAAGGGAATGACAAGCTGTGATCACAGGGATTGGCCACATTCCCAGTGTGACAAAGGTGAGTTCATGTGGTGAAGTGAAAAAGAGCTCAAGTTTAGAAGTGCAGAGGTGTGATCAAAGAATATTAATCACATGTACATACACACATTGACTGAACTAATGGACTGTGATTGTGTAAGTTTACAACATTTGAGATATATTTCATATGTTTGATCTTTTGATGTTTAAAAATGAGTCCTTCAGCATTGTTTCTAAGATATTTTCAGGCATATACAGACAACTTGAGATTGATGACCTTTATTTTTATAATGACCTTTATTTTTATAAATATATTTTTACATTTATATTTTAATGACCTTTATTTTTATGTCCCTTTTTCTGCTCATCTTCTGTCCAGAACAGGTAAAAAACATTGAGAACATTACTCACCATCCAGAACTTCCTCAGGAAAACCTGTCCTTTCAAAGTCATTGTTGTTCTGGTTGTACAAACCAAAGAGCAGATAATTTGCCAGTTCTCTGCACCCTTCATTGTATCGACTGTCTATCCCTGCAAAGCAAAACCACAGGAGAATTGCTGTGTGTCCTCACACTGCACACCTGAAAAGTTTCTTTTCTTCCTCAATTTATTAAACTTTAAAGCAGGACTATGAACTCAACTCCCCAGCTGAGCTCACTGAGAGAACAGGGTAGGGAAAAAGGAGATTTTGCAAGATCACTGCCACAGGCTGACATCCCTCTTTCAACCTAAATCCATGAATATTCCTTTAAAAATTTAAATCTCTTGTTTTCTGCATTCAAAATTCTGGTTTTTTCTAGTAATTCAAACATCTGTCTGGATGCAGGATGCATTCTAATTAATATGTTCTTGATTGAAGCTTCCTAACAAACTAATCCTGTGACCCAAATCTCCTGCTTTAGAATACATGATTAAACATTATCTTATCAGTGCTATAGAGCAATCCCTGAGTCACCAGAGAAAACCACTGCAGGCTTCTGACAAATTGTGAAAAGATGTTTTGACAAAAAAATATGGGGCACAAAAAGCTTCCAAGGAAACCTTTCCTGGTCCTTGGGAAAATTAAATGAAAACAACTGAAGATCTGGAGAATGATGAGATAGAAGATAATTCAAGAAGGAATGAGGTCACAGATTTAGAAACTATTTTCATCAATCTTCATCCCTCTGGATGACAGCCACAGTCATAATTCTACTGTAAAAAATCCAGTTTTTTCAAACAAATAAAAGTGCACATAAAGCAACATCCTTGCTGCTTTTTCACAGAGCTCACCAGTCCTGACTGCCAAAAAATTCCTCTAATGGCGAATTTTCCTACCAAGTTATATTAGAATTCAGTGGAATCCTTGCCAACAAATTTGGATTTGTTACATTAGGATACAGTGGGATGGCTGCCAACAAAATAGGATTTGTTAGCACTGCTAAAAGAGAGATCAGGACATTGATAATGTAATAACATGGCCTGAACATCTGAGTCTCAGCACTTGAACTGGAAACCAAACCAGTCAGGAGTCACCTGGATTTGGCAAAAGCTGGAACAAACCTCAGGTTCTGCTGTTTATGCTCCTTTTTCATGTTATGCTTCAGCTTTACAGTGCTAACAAGATGATGTGTCAGCATCCAGCTACTGAACATCTCAAAAACTCTTAACAAACTCTTTGTTTGCTCAGTGACTTTGGTAGCTCACATGTATTCCAAGGTATCTGAGATTTGGTGGAAAGCTGCCTCACATCTGTCCCAGCTTTCTCAGCCCTCAAAGGTTTTTTTTTTTCCAGCCATAATCTTGGAATCTTCATTCTCCTGCTGTTTCTGACCTCTCATTCATTTATATTTCTATTTTTAATATTTTATTAATATTTTCAGCCTCATGAAAGCAGGCACACCAATGTAATCTGGAATTCAGATGGAGTCAACAAACAAATATTGCTGCCAAAGCCCTCGTGTCTAGGTGGGATTTTAGTTACAAACAAGTGGAGACTCCCTTCTTTCAGGAAGAAACTTGTTGTGGTGTGTTGCAATGTCCTGTTTTAAACTTCCGGGTCCCTTCCCAGGTGTGCCTATGCCTCTCTCCCTTCCCCCTCGCCCCCTTGCTGAGTGTGCCCTGTCAATCAGGNGATGGATGGATATTTTGATCCACTCTTAGATAAGGAAACAGAAATTAAAGCCACTGATGACAGCAAAGACTTCATCAGGTACAATCAGACGTTTGTTGACAATCCACACTGAACTTTACGCTGCACATTTAAACAACTGCTGATTATTCCTTCTTTCAAGCCTCACCTAAACCTGAATCTCACAGCTACACAAAATTAAGGTTTTGTATTTTATTCTGGCAAATTTCCATCTCATCATTAAACAGGAGCCCAGAGCAGCTGGCTGACAGATGATTCACTCCAAGCTATCCAGAGCTCATCTTTTTACACTTCCCATATCATGAGATAGAGAGCAGGAAAAAAAATCCCCAGCCTCTTCACTGTGGGCACAAATTGGACTTATTTCATTTGTTGGTATGGAAACAGCAACACAAATTACACAAGCCCACAGTTATTTGAGGAGCAGCTGCAGGATTGCTGGAGCCTCTGTGAAAAAAAAAAAAAAAAACAAAAACATGAAAGCAACTTTTTGTACAAAGCTGTCCATAAGTGAAATCCTTCTTGACCTGCCTGCAAAGGAATTGTTCCCACAATTTCTGAGAGGATCTGAAGGACAAATTAAAGGACTGGGAGAAAAAACGTGTCCAAGGACTTCTGCACTGACACAGCAAGCAGCTCCTGGTGATTTTTAATTTAATCCTTGTGATTTTTAATAAAACATTTTCCATATCAGAGGACGCATGTTCCTGCTCCTCCTCCAAGTGAGGAAAGAAACAGTCAACAGGAAAAATGCTGAGGGCACAAGAAGGAGATTTTCCTTCAGCTCCTCAAAAACAAGATGCAATAATTCTTTTGCTACTCATGTCAACTGTGAAGGCAAATTTAATTCTCCAGGCAAAAATAGGTTTTTAAGGATCTGTAACATTTTTAGAACTTCTTATTCATCATAAACAGAGCAGCAATACACATCTTGATTTTCCCACTATTTTTTCCCTGCCTGTACTGATCACTTATAGAAAAATGGTTAGAACTCAATTTGATTAAGACCAATTATGGAAACTCATGGGGAAAGAGTTCTTCCATTTTTTTAAAAAACATTACCTATGAAACAAGGTTAGCTATTCCTAAGATATTTAAATTTTAATTTCAAAGGCTTCTACACAAGAATGACCCAAAAAACCCCATTTATCATTTAAAAGAAGTAGTGTTATGAGCCTGTGCAAGAAGACCAGAGCAGAGAAAAACAAAATAAATGAGGTTTTTCTCTTCTTGAGCTCTGAGGAAGTATTTTCTGACCAGTTCAAGTGCTGGGCCAAAAAAGAGAAGAAGAATTGGGGTTGGGCATTTCCTTCCTTATTTTAACTTTTTAGGTTAGCAATTTTACTCTCCTCGAATTACTTTCATTATTTTTCAAATAAATTATAACCTTGGTGCAGCCTTTAAAAACACTTAAAGATCTCAGATTAAGCTGCTAAAACATTTCTGCCAGGTAAATCTGGATGTCAGTGCTGTGTGTCCTGACATAAAATGTGTAATTTGCACAGAGCAAATTATACATTCGTTATTTCACAGTAAGATGTTATGTCCAAGAAAGATATTTCATTTTTGATTTTAAACAGACACTGAGCAGAATATTTTTCCTTGCCTTATTTAAGAAGTGAGAGAATGAGAGAATTCTTTGCAAAAGCTCCTTCACAGAAAAATTTTCAATGTCATTTCAAGTGCGGATAAATCATTATATTCAAAGGCTGACACTAAACACAGAAGACTTGTGTGCCTGAAGAAAGATGCCATTCAGAAATAGGGAAGAGAATAATTAGAATTCTTACAACATGCTTTTAAACAATACAGGCTAAACTGGGTATAAAGTCAGAGAGGGGAAAAAATAAAGGCATTTTCTTGGATTTCACATTAAACAGTCATCTGCCAAAAACAAAAAGACTGTCCTGGGAACAAAAATCCATGACTTTTCCCATCTCCAAAACAAGCACTCCTTTTCATTTGGCTCCAGCAGCACAAATTCAAAAGGAAACAACCTCCACACCAACCTGTGGGCCTTGGGATGCTCCCCTGGAAGTTGTGCCTCTGGATCCACCACCTACATAACCACAGTTAAACCTAAATAAGCTGCTGCTAAAAACAAAAATATATAGGTGTGTTTGGAAATATGCTCCTAAGGAAGCTCCAAAATCCTGGATTCCAACGAGATTTGGGCAAGACAAGAGCTATAAGTTATTTATGCATCTAAGAGGAAACTCCTGGAGAAGGTAAGAAGTTGAAAAAGGTGGGAATTTTTGAACCACTTGAACCACTTTTTTTTTTTTTTTTTTTTAAGTGGGAATTTTCAGCACCACTTTTGAGCAGAAGCTGGGATTTCTGTGTGGGTTTAAGGCAGGATAAAATCTCCTGGTGCTGCAAAGGGACAGCGTCATCCTCCTCACCCCCTTTGTGGCTGCACTAACGATCTGCAAGCCATGTGTCAGGTCAGATCAGCTTATGGATCCAAACAACCTCCAGGCCAGGAATTAAAAAAGAAAATAATGCTTTCAAACAGCAGCAAGCTGACCTGACTGCTGATTGAGGCAGGTCAAAAAGCAAAGCCACGTTTTGGGGTGACAGCTGGCAATAAAGCGTGCTTGGGCCAATTAAGGAGCTGTACCTTGAGGTACTTGATATTCCACTAATCTTGGACTAGATCCAGGGGAAAAAAAAAGGGGGAGATAATTGACAATCATTAACTTCTAAGAATTAGTGCTCATCTGTTCACGTCTTCACACTAATTATGCAAAGTAGCTCGCTTTACAACAGGCAGCCTGTCACAGCTCGGTAACAGACACGGCGCTGCGAGGCACGTCTGTTGGCAAATAAAGGGAATATTAACAACTGTGCCTTTCTCAATCACAAAGAACAAATCCATTTCCTCAAGAAAGCCACATGGTGCTTGAATTTCCATCTTGTTTCTTCTCCCACAATGCTTTTTCCCCTGGCTGCTGGCTGGATTTAAGCTGAGTGCAAGCTGCCTTTTCTTGACGTGGTAATCCAGAATTGAGGCGGCACCATCAGCACTGATCCCTGCTGGAATCCTGGATGTTGAAAAATTTTAAATTTCTGGGCTGAAAGTTAAAATTCACAGACCCACAAGAAAATATTCCATTTGACCTGAGGCCGTGGAGAAGCCTTCAAAAATTGATTTATAGCAATGGGATTATGGGTGTGTAGTTTGATTAGAAGTGTGTAATATGTAATGTAATGTAATGTAATGTAATGTATAGTAATGTAATGTAATGCAATGTAATGCAATGTAATGTAATGTAATATAATATAATATAATATAATATAATATGGAAGTGTGTAATATATAATTAACATATAATATATAATATATGGTATGTATAATATANTAATATTGGGATTTCTATTCCAATAGAAACTGTCCCATTGTTTTAGGAACTCCATTTCCATGGAATCAGCTGCAGCCTTGGGAAGTGAGCACACACAATCTCCTGAGGATAATCTGCTCCACTGACCACCTGCCTAACTCAGGCACCTCCTGAGGGCTCAGAGGAGCAATAATCTGGCACACACAGACTGAAAGAGCTGGAAAAGAGAAGGTTCCAGAAAGATCTCAAAGTCTCTTTCAGTGCTAAAGGGGCTCCAGGAGAGCTGGAGAGGGAATGGGGGACAAGGGATGGAGGGACAGGACACAGGGAATGGTTCCCAATACCAGAGGGCAGGGATGGATGGGATATTGAGGAGGAATTGTTCCCTCTGAGGGTGCTGAGGTTCTGGCACAGCTGCCCAGAGAAGCTGTGGCTGCCCCTGGATCCATGGAATGCCCAAAGCCAGGTTGGACAGAGCCTGGAGCAATCTGGGATAGTGGAAAGTGTCCCTGCACATGGCACCAAGCTGAAACTACATAATCTTTAAGGTCCCTTGAATCTAAACCATTCTATGACTCTCTGATTCTAATTTCTGGAAGATCAGAAGAAAAATGAGAAACTGCCTTCACTTTAAAAAAAAAAAAAAAGTTGATGTCACCATCAGTCGAAGAGTTTGAGATTTTATCTGGGTACAGCTGCTTAGAGCAGGGAAGATCTTCCAAGCCAAATGTCAAACCTCAGCTTTTTCAGTTACTGACAGAAGGAGGGGAAGAGAAAACAAAAGATCTTGAAGGGGGACAGCTGACAAATTTATAATAGAGGACATGGGTGAATTATTGCTTGCAGAGCACTGACAGCCACAGAGGGAAGGTAATTGTTTAACATAAAACCACCAATTCTGCAGAATATTTGGAATTTGTGGTTTCCTTGGATCTTTCAAGTATCCTGTCCAGACAGCAGCTTTCACAGGGAAGCTTTAGCACAATTCCACAGCAACATATGGAGTTAAAGGAACAGATACAGCCAGCAGAAAACAAACAGGAAATGAAACAATGACCGAGATAAGAGCATATCAGGAGTCCTCCCCAGAACAATGGGCAAGGCCATGAATTAGGGGAGCCCCACGCCTGTCTCCAGCTGAGCTGGGAGTTTGGAACTCCCCCTCCTGCTCGGGGTTGTGAAACTGGCAGAAAGTGTGAAAAAAAGTCAATCATTTGGTTTCAGATTGTAAAAGTTTAAGAGTAATAAAATAGTTATAAAAATAGTCATTAAAAAAAAAAATTAGAGCAATAAGGATTTGGACAGTCAGAGTTAGAATAATAAAGAATAATAAAAACAAAGAATTGTGGATCTCTGGATGCTTCCTGGGCACTAAGCCCCAAAAAGCAGAGCTCTCCAACAAAGGATTAACCCTTCAAAGCAATAGCCTGTTGTATATTCATATATCTCATCCATGATGCAAATATTCCTTTCAAACTAAGGATTTTTTTGTTTATTGTCAACTTTCCCCCTTCATCTTGTAAATCAATTCAGTTCCTCAGACTCTGGGCCTTCCCAATAAGGAGGCAAAAATTCTTTCCTTGGAATCCTGTTGTATCTCCATCCAGAGAGGACAATGAGAAGAATTTCTTGGTTATCTTTTCCATGTCTTGGGTCAGTTACAAAAAAGTCTCTTACATCACACAGTTTCTATTTTAATATTATGCCATATAAATATGCCATAATTATATAATATATATTACATAATTATAAATATTGTATATTATATATTTAAATTACATATATAATATCATATATACTATATTTTTATATTATGTTTTTATATAATTTTTAGATTATATCTTTAGATTATATAATTATATCATACTATTATATATTATATATTTTGTATAATATTATCATTTTATATGTTATATATTCTATATTTCGATTATATTTAATATATATTTTTATAATATATAAAATATATTACCTAAATATATAATCTGGATTATTTATAATCTAAAAAGGCAATATGTGAACAGAACCAAAGTAAAATAAATATTTACTGGAACAGCCTTGAAAGTATCCCCACTCTCTCTGAGGAGAATAAAAACTAAATATCAATATTTGCAAAATCAGCTCAGCTGTGCTGAATGGTGAAACTGTTTAATCAGAGCAGCTACAACTGCAGTGGTTACAGACACCCCCTGCTCACAGCACATCTCAGAAATCCCTGAACCAGGAGCTGAAAATCTCTGCTGAAATGTAAGATGCTAAGAAACACCACTATGATAGAAAATAATCTACAGAATAATTTAAGTAGATCAGTTTGAACAGCAACACACTCAGCTGAGACCTGCCACCTTTTTTAAAGCCATTTGACATTCCAACCTCCAAATTCTTTCTTCCTGTCAGTTGTGAGGACTTTTCTCCCCAGCAAAGAATGCAGGAATGTCACCATGCAAGCCCTTCAAAATCAGATTAGAGAATTCCTTTTAAAAATCAGCTGTAACTCCATTTAAATACTTGTATCAACAGCGGGTCAGTTCCCATCTCTCTCTGGGATCTCCAGTGCTGAGTTTAATTTCAGTACAAATATTAATGAACTTGAAGTAAAGCTGTGTGCANTTGTCCTCACCTTGAACAGATCCTACCAAAGTCAATGATTTTACCATTAACAGCCCAATTTACCATAAATAAATAAATAAAATATAATATTAAATCACAGGGTTTTTTTCTCCAAGTCTCACTTCTTGTTAACTCTCTGTTGTGAACATCTGTTTCCATTTTAGCCCCTGAAAAATCAAGTTTATACTTCTTGGGTTTTTTTGTTGACCTCATGATTTCTATCAGAAATGTTTGTTTGTATTAAGAATCCAGGATTTTCCTGGATTTCTCACAATCTGACATTATCCCCACCTCACTGTAGCTGTGAAAACAGACACCAGATTGAGCTAAAAACTCTCAGAATTTCATTGATTTCAAAATAAATCTTTCACTGCTTGGTATTCATAAAAGACAACATTCACTCACCTTAAAAGAGATGTCAATTTTCTACCTATTTTGCAAATTTCTCCACATAGGGAGAGAAATTTGCATTGGGATATTGACTATAAACAGGAGATCAAGTAATTTTTTAGGAACCGTGAGAAAAAAAGGACAAAGATAAATAAATTTTAATTTTGTGTGCATTTTCAGGATCAAATCATGATCTTAAGTGGACTAGTCAGGACCAAATCTTGATTTTTAATGGACAGGAATATTCAATTCTGTAATCCAGAGACCTCAAAGCACAAAGGAACAAGCCTGAATCTCTCCTTACTAAACATCTGGAACTGCCTGATGTTGTTCTGCACAATCACAAACTTTTTCAGGATATTTATAAATTCTGGGTTGCTCATCAGTCAGACCCTCAGCTTTAAGAAATAAAACCTTTTTAACAGGCTGATTTACAAAAAAAAAAAAGTCGGTATTTTCATTTTCTTATGCTGCAGCACATTATGGAGAGCATCAACTATTCCCTTCCAAAAAATATTATCAGCTGAGAAAATGGCAATAATTGAAAAAGTGACCAAGAGCAGCGGCTCCAGGGTGATTATTCTGCCATCATTCACTCTGTGATTAAAGGACAGGGCACTGCCTGGCCCTTGGGCAGAAATCAAAGCTGATTTTTAGCGCCTCAAGACTAAATTCACCTTCAGGGCTCATTCCTGGGCCAGAACTTCTGCAGCCACGCGGCCACAAAGCTCCAAATCAGATGCTGAGATGATCAAAAAAGGGAGAATTCCAGCTGAAAGATCCACACCAAAGCTCTGCTCCTCTCCCTGGCAATTTTCTCTTCTTCTTCCTCTCTATTCCCATCAATCAAAAGCTTCCACACCCTCAATTCTCACTGTAGAGTCTCCCAAGCATTCTTATTTCCCTAAGGTGACAGAAAATCATCCATATTCAAGGAATGGGGGTTGTTTCTCTTTTTTTCCTCCTGTAGTTCAATTTAAATCAGCTCTGTCTTTGCATTGCTAAAATACAGCACATTCCTTAAAAAAAAATAATTCCAGTGCAACTGTGCTCTTACAAAATCCTGACCCTCAGCATAATTACATAAGGAAAATTCGTTAATCTTGCATCACAGACAAGTCCCCTACAAAAACTGATTGGGAAACCACAACAACTCTTTGGTCCCGTGCTCCCAAATAAAATTCATGGACAAAGAAAAACAAAAAGCCACAAATTTAACCACGATGTGATTAACAACAGAGCAGGAGAATGGTAAGCACAGAGGAAGAGATAACAGAAAAATTAACCCAAGGACTCATTTTGCATTTCCCCCACATGGTGAGAACTCATCTGTATTATGTTACCAGCATGGATAATGAATAATGAGGATTTGCTTGCTCTGTTTTACATAAAGGTAATTCAGATTGGGTGGGTGCAGAGTGCTCTGAAATACAACAAATCTGCATTGACTTTCTGATGCAGATATTTAAAACAAGCACCTCACAGGATTTTTGTTCAGAAATGCCTGCATTCACAAGGAAAACACTCATTCCCCACCAAACACAGGCACAGGAAAGATGACATCACCTCCCAAAAACACTTCCCCTTTTTTGGGCAGCACTTCTCTCTCACTTAAGGGATTTTTTTTCTTTCTATTTCCAAACCCATTCTTTACTCGTTACAATGCTGAGGTGCCACATGGCAGACCAAAACTCTCGAGCATGTGGAAGAACTCCAGGAATTATCTCTGGCCCTTTCTCTAGTCTTTATATAGTCTGAAGAATTTTTCCATTCCTGTTTGGGAGCTTGGGGGTGGTGGGGGAGGGGAACAGATTGTTTTGTTTTAAGTTATTTTTATTAACTGCCTGCTCTCTGCTGACTGCCTGGGAAATTTATGGCAAACACTGGCCTCCATCTGGCCTGACAATAAAAAAAAATTTAAAAAAGGACTGCACAAAAATGAATGTTAAGAAGGAAAAAAAAAAATTAACAGATGACATGGCTCCTACAAATGCACCAAATTACAGTTGCTGGCTGCATCTCCCAGTGGAGCTCAAAAGCTTGCAGATGTTCACAGAGTCTGGATGTTCTCATGACAACTCTAAAACAGGGTCTCAGATTACAAAAATCACTCAGGAAGAGGAAGGCTTGAGTGGAAACCATTTTCTCTTTCAGCATTTTTTTTTAACCATCTTGGCATTTCATTACCCATCATGAATTTTTAGATCGTTCACAGCTCTAAAAAAATACCAAGCTCTTTCTAAATAATTAGTATTAATTTAGTCGGTGAAAAAAAAATTATTTGAAAAGGTCACTGTTCCTTCTGCCTTATTTTCAATTCAGAAAGGGAGAGAGGGAACATAACCAGCCGTGTTCACGTGTTTCAAGCAAGCACAGCAACCTCCATTTCTCTCTCTCTCACAGCAGAATTCCTCATTTCACTGGCAAATCATCCAAAAAGTGAAAATGCTTTTGTTCCCTTCTTGTACTTCAGATAAAAAGCTGTTTGGTGTGGGTGTTTGTTTGTTTTTTCATTGAAAATCTCCAGCAAGCAGAGAGCCAGGCAGCTTGGCCAAGTGTTTGTCTGCGATTCACGTGCAAGGTCTCCCTTCCCTGATTATCTGACTTCCCACTGCCGAATACTTCCATGTATTGTGCTGCAACTATTGAAAGCATCAAGCACTTCAGTTCCTGGGTTGTGCTTTTTGTGGTACCATAAAACAGAATCATGGAATTATTTCGGCTGGAAAAGCTCTGCAAGAGCATCGAGTCCAACTGCTACCCCAGCACTGCCAAAGCCACCATTAAACCTCATCACTAAGCACCGCAAAAATGGTTTTTAACTGCTTTTTAAACGTCTAGCCACTCTACCACCGCCCTGGGCAGCTTGTTCTAGTGCTAGACAATCCTCCCAGCAGAGAAATATTTCTTAATATCCAACCTAAACCTCTCCTGGCACACCTTGAGGCCGTTTCCTCTATTCAAACCATTCGGATAATGGGCTGCAGCATCATACACATGGGTGCACCTTAAGTCTCCAAAAGGAAACAGAGCTCTGGCAACCCAAGGATACCTGAGCTGACACCCGAGCTCCCACAGAGCCAATGCCACCATCTCACATGTCCCCACACCCCGGCTCCTGTCAAGCCCTACCCAACATATTTTCAGAGCTCAGGAAATTTTATTACCTTTGTATCCATAAACCCCCATACAAACACAACCTCTTCTTTCTCTCTCTCCATAATCCCTCAGCCCCTCCCAAACCTCAGCTAACCCTACACTAAAATTCACTTTTCCTGCCTTTCACAAGCCTTTTTTTTTTCTTTTATCGTCAACATAGCGCACGCTGACCCCTCCTAAACCAGTCTCAGGTTTATCCCCTACAGAAGCACAACCCCAAAGCCCCTCTGTGCACATCAGCCCTGCTGGTGATGTCCTGCTGCTCCTCACCCACACATCCTCCTCCTCCAGCAGGATTCTGCCGGTGACAATCCCTCCATCCACAAGGTCACATCAGGCCCCTGTCTGCCGTCCTGTACCTCCCTCCCGGCAGCCACCTGCCAAATCTACCTGTCCCCATCATGGCCAGTCTTTTCTTTCTCGTTCCCAGCCCTTCACACGCTCCTTCAGCCCCCAAAATCCCTTTAATGATCCCAAATCCGCCCGCAACACCCGCAGAGCTCAGAGCCGGAAAGCCTCTCCTGAACGCCCCATCCCTTCTGTCCCACCCCCATCCTTCCCACAACACCTTCCATAGGTGTTAAACCCTATTGTACCCCAAATCAGCCCGTTAACTCTGCGAACACCCCAAATTCTACCCGATCAAACCCCTCAAGACCCCATCTTAAGGTTTAAAACCTCTCCCTATCCCCTCGATTGCAGCGCCTCCAAAGCGCTGCGCTCCCCATCCCTCGCACCCCAACGCCCCCAAATCGGCGTTTAACGCTATTTCCTCCACGAGCAGAGCCACGGATGTGAAAATCTCAGTTGCTCTTACACCAAATTACTTCTAAATTCACCAAAATCCTCCAGATCGCCCCTTCGGCGCCCCTCCAACACATCCCCCCACCCCGCACACCCCCTCCCCACCCCACAGCCCCTTCAGCGCAGCCCTGCCGCTGGCTGTCACCCCTCTCCTCTCCTTCCCCGCTGTCCCCTCCGGTACCTGACGAAGGGCCCCGGGGCTCGGGGCCGGGGCCGGTGTCGCGGGGGCGGCGGGAGGAGAGCGGAGCGGCCGCACAGCGCCATGGCGACCGCGATGCGCCCGAGCGACGGGGCGGCTCCGCCACTGCGGCCCTGCGCCCCGCCCCGCACAGCCCGCTCCACTCGGCACGGGGGAGGAAAGGATATGGCACACCCACACTGCTCCTTCTGCTCCCAGCTTTTCTGTCCGTCCAGAATTTATCCTGAGTTTTTATCTCCTCTCACAGGAAGTGCGGTTGGGAATTCCCGGATACCGGCTCTAGCTGGGAGTACACATAACGGGGTGAGGTTGATCACCCCTTTGGCAGGAATGGGCTCGTCCAAGTCCAGCCCCCTGCTCACACACCCCTCACGCCCCCCCTCCGCTCGCTCTTGGGCGCGTCCAGCCCCCACCGCTGCTGATGTCCCCCCCCCTCGATGGGGCGTGGGCTCGTCCGATGGCAGGGAGGGGGGACAAGGGAACCCTGAGACCCCCTCAGACCCCCTGGGACCCGGGGAGGGGACAAGAGACCCTTGAGACACCGGGGAGAGGGACAAGGGACCCCTGAGACCCCGGGGAGGGTCACAAGGGACCCCTGAGACCCCGGGAGGAGGGGGTCAATGGGCCCCTGACACCCCCTCAGATCCCGGGGAGGGCGGTCAAGGGACCCCTGAGACCCCGAACAATGGGGACAAGGGACCCCTGAGACCCCGGAGAGGAGGACAAGGGACCCCTGAGACCCCCTGTAACCCTTGGGAAGGGGTGACACAGAGCCCCCTGAGAATATGTGACACAAAAGCCTCCAGGGAGGAGTGACAACAAGCTCTGAGGAGCAGGGGGACATGGAGACCCCAACATCCTGCAGAGCTCCGAGGGGTGGTGTGTCCTGGAGTTCTTCGGAGTGATGTACCCTGGTGTCCCCAAAGTGTTGTCCCCAAAAACACCCTAGAGCACACAGACATGCCCTGGCTCCCCGTGTCCCCCCAGCATTGCACCCACCATGGGACCCCTCCCCAGCTGTCATTCCCTTAAAACCACCACAGCCCCATCTGGGCACCCCTCTGGGGTGTCACCAACACCCCACATGGTCCTTTTTGTGTTATCCCCAAAAAATATCCCCCATTTCCAATCAGCACCCCTCTGTGTGCTAATACCAGCACAACCACCCTTGCAGACATCCTTTATTCTCTTTACACCAGAAATTAAAGGAGTTTTGCCTGCTCTGCCCAGAGATCCCAGCCTTGCTGGCCCCTGACACCCTTTCCCCAGTCTTCTCCTGGGGAAGATTTTTACTGATTATTTTACTGATGTGTCACCATTGCCAAACAACTGAGACAGCACCCCAGGGAGCAGGAGCAGGGATTTTGGGTCCTGCACAGAAAACCTGCAAGGATCTACAAAGAACTGAGGTCGTCACTACTCAGGGAAGGATCTGGAGCCAGGCTTTGAGGGGGCACATGGCTAAAATCTGTTGATCACACATCCTTCAGCATATCCTGCTCCTCCTGCATGCTCCTGCCTCCCCCTGGGGGAAGGAGTAGAGGTTGAGTAAGCATCAAGGAAAGCTGAATTTGCTGTGGAGGCTCTCATTCCCCCCCAGAACGTTAATCCCCATCCCCCAGTGCTAATCTCTGACGAGTTCCCTGCACCATTAATCTCCCCAGCTCCTCATCCCTGGTGGAGAGTGGGATAACACCTCTTGCCTGCATCTTATTTTAATTACATCAGCAGCAGTGTAAAGCCCCAAATCTGCAGCTTTGGTGTGTGATGGAGACATGGGGCTGCCTGGAGCAAGCTCCTTTTCCCATCCCAAAGGATCTCAGTTCAGTGGGGAACACTCAGGGGCTCTCACTCCCACCTCACTTTTAACCTGGTGCAGAGAACGTGTTCCAAAGTGCTCTTTCCTTTTTTCTCCAAAAACCAAATCGGACTTTGCTCAGTGCCACAGAGCAAAGACAAGATAAATAAATATTCTGGGCCGTGGCCCAGCTGCCCTGCAGCCACTGGGAAGCATTTTAGCTGCCCTTGATAAAATTCTGATGGTGCCATGCACAGGCAAGTCCCCATGGCACAGGTTGTGCTGACAAGGAGCTGGCACCATCCCAATCCCAAATTCTTCCTGTTTTTGCAGCCCCTGGACACACTTTGAGCTTGCTAAGGCAGCATCACCGACAGGAGCTGAAGGCCTGGAAGGAAAAGTGGATAGAATTGCTAAAAACCCTTGGCTTCCCTCTAGAAGGATCCTGAAATGCATCTCTCCTGCTCCTCTTGTCCTTTTCTGAGTGGGACACTGTCCTGCAGAGCTCCTGCTGCCTGTCTCATGCCAGTCCATGAACCACCAGCTTCCAGGAGCCTTTCCCAAGCCCCCTCTACATCCAACACCTACATAAGGAAGGAGACATGTCCTGGCAGCACATCCTTCCCCTGAAACATCTGGGTGCTGTGTTGGCTCCTTCCATCTCCTCTCTTCCATCTCCTCTCCATCTCCATGAGCCTGCCCAGGCACTCCAAACGCCAGGAACACATCAAGGCTATGGTGGGAGAGGAGAGGGAAAAGGGATATTCCCAGGACAGGATTTAGGGATATTTTTCCCCAAAAACTCTTTCAACCAACAAGGGAAATATGAGGCTGCTGTGGCCTGCAGCCTCATATTTCCCTTGGGGTGACAAATCAGGCCAACAACCTGGAAAACACCCAACAGAGAGGTCAGGCTTCCTGGAGAAGGAGGGAGGTGAGGTGGAAGGGGAAAGAAGGTGACATCAGCTATTGTTCCTGCTCTCCAGCTTCCTGAGCTTCCCTATCCCACTATTGTTGCACGTTTTGAGGGCTGCAAAAGATGAGTGAAACCCACAACAGTTCCCAAAGAGAGGAAGAGGGGAGGCAGAGTGGTTTGGAAAGAGGGGGAAAGATGCTCATGGTGTTCCTTGGTGGGTCCTGCTGACCCAGATCTTGTCCAAAAGCAAACAGCAGATCTGGGTTGAGCTGGTAGGGCTGATCCTCGCTGTGTTTTCAGCTTGGGTACCTCAGGGTTGGCCTCTCCCCACGGAGACAGCTGCCTGCACACCCTCTTCCCTGGATATCTGTTTATTTTTAGCAAATCCCTGCTGGACAAAACAATTCTGTACTCACAGAGAGGCCAAAATTAGCTGTTCACCCTGAGATGTGCACCTGGAGAGGTTCTTTATTCCCCCATCCATGAGGAATGCCTAAACTTCCCACCCTGGGCTGATGGTTGCTCAGTGAGGCTGGAGGATGAATTTTATACAAAAATTGATTGGTACATCCCATCCCACTGGGACCTGCACAACCCTTCCCATGGAAAACGTTGGCTGCTGGGAATGTGGGCTGTAGGATGGCTTTGACGTCCTGGTGCACACTAAGGAACCATCCATGAGCCATCCTGCAGGACTTCCCAGGATGGTGGAACCCCAGGAAGATCTGTCTCCATCCCTGATGGGCAAAGGCAACCCCAGAAATAACCCCAGAGTCAGCAGCTCCAAATAAATCCAAACAGAAAAGCTTTATGACTCACAAATCCCACTTTCAGCCAAGGATCCATCCTTTAGGGCTTTCAATTTGCTTTTTCCTTATCCCTCTGTAGCATCAAGGATCTATTTTCCTAATGCAACAACACTTTTAAGGAAATAATTCTGATTTCTTGGAGAGAAAACATGAATTGTACTGTGCTTGCATGGTAAACAAACAAGGTCCTCCCTTTCTGTGCTTCCCAAGAACTGTTTTTCTTCCTTTTTGCTCAGATTTATGGGATCCTGTTGTATTTATGGGATCCCATGAATGTTTCAGAGGAGTCCACCCTCCAGGCAATGGATGTTCACTCAGAGAATGGACTTGCTGCCTACAGAGCTCTTACTGAAAAATTTATGAATAGCTTGAGAAAGGAATAAAATGAGACTGTTTGAAAAGTTTCCCACTTTTACCTGGGCAGGGAAAATTAAGTAATAAATGATGATGGCTATAAAAAGCCTCCTACTTCATCTGTCCAAGTTCTTCAGGCTAGAAAAATCTTCATTCTTCTCTAGTGTTATTTTAGGAGGAGAGATATTAAAATTTCCTCTGGCCTGAAATTACTGTTTTATTCTCACCACAAAAAAAAAGCAGCCCCCAGGTCAAAGAAAACAAAAGGGTTAGTTATTCCAACAAGCTGAGATCTGCTTGTTTATACCACCCTGAATCTGGCACCACACACCCATCAAACACAGGGTGGAGATGCAGGAGGTGATGGAGACACAACACACCAAGATCCTGCAAGCACAGGAAACGTCTCAAAAAATAGCAGTGCTGACCCTGAGTTACCCAGACTTGTTTTGTTATAGCCACTGCTCTTTGTAAATGAAGAGTTTGGCTGAGAAACAGAGGTGGCTGAGGTTGACCAGGAAATGGGAAGGATTTTTTGGATGTTCTGTTTGCAAACTGGCTCCATGCAAAGAGGGAATTTGGTGCTGGTGGAGGTCACTGCTGAAGTTCTTTTTGGCTTTTCCAACAGTGGATGGAGCAAAGTGATGTTTGCTGGCTGATGGGAGAACAAACCACTGCCCCAAGAATAATTTTATGTCATGGCTTCTTCATGTTTTGGGACATCTCCAGGTGCTATGAGATCCTGGAATAATTTGGGTTGGAAGGGACTTGAAGACCATCTTCTTTGGTCATATTAGATTTACCAGCATGAAATTTGGTCTGCAAAAAATCAGGAAATTGCTGTCTGGAAGGGTGTGCCGGTGTCTCTTCCCTGACGCCCTGGATGCTCTGGAAAGGTTCTTCAAAAGAAGGAACAGTCTGGATATGGTTTAGATCAGAGGGAAATTCAAGTTGGAAGGGACCTCAGGACATTTCTAGTCCAACCTTCTTCTCAAAGCAGTGTCACCCTAGTTTTCTAGGATTTTCTAAGCCTTCTGATGTTGACATTCTTGTAGTGAACTTTCTCACACACTTTCTGTAAATAACTCATTGTTTTGCATTCCTTGATGGAAGAGGAGAAAGTTGACAGACTGTTGGTTTAACCAGTGTCATTGGAGAGGTGGCACTGTCACCCTCCAATCCGCTGTCACTTTTGGAAAACTATAAATGTTGGAGTCAGAAAACAAACTTCCCTTTTTTCTTCACCTTGAAAACAGCTCTGTGAGCTTG